CCTCTGGATTGTACAAGAAGGGAGACAGGGAGCACTGATAAGACATGGTGTGTGATTAATCAGACTTGGCTTCTTTCTCTTCTGCTTCATCAGAGACTGTACTCTCATTTGTAGTTTCTCCATTTTCTGCAGATAAATCTTCCTTGGTTTCTTGATTAGCCACTTCAGCCTGTTTGCCCTTCGCTCCCCTTTTCCCTTTTGCTTGCACTTTTTTGTCTGAAGATTTATCCTTTCCTGCTGCCTTTTTTGACTTCGTTGCCACTTTAGCTGGAACAGGTTTAGCCAACAACCTCGCCGGTCTGATCTCTTCTTGGGCTTCTCCTTTGCCGACCCCTCAACCGAGCTGACCTTCTTGGGCATCTTGGCAGTGTGGGGGGCTGAGAAAATTTAAAAGTCATTTATCACAGTCACTTTTTCCAGTATTTTTTTTGTCTGTCTTATTTTTATATTTCCATTACACATAAAATATCTTTTTAATTGTCTTACAAAAAAGTCATGTAATGCTAACAATAATAAATTTTAAACTTATTATTTTAATGAAAAGTATATTTTCCAACTGAGTGTGGTGGTACAGTTGTGGGAGATTAAGGCAAGTGGCTCACAGGCCCAGCCTGGACAACTTAGCTACTTAGTGGGACTGCCTCAGAGTTTAAAAACGGCTAAGGAATATAGATCAGTGTGAAGGCTCTGGGTTCAATCCCCAGTACCACCAAAAAAAAAAAAAAAAAAAAAAAAAAAAAAGGTAAAAAGAATACCATTATTATATTTTCTGAAATCTTGCTCGTATCTGTCATAATAGAAAATATTTTTAGGGCCAGCCAAATAGCTCAGTGGATTAAAGTGCCTGTAAGCAGGCACAAGGGCCGGGGATTCGATCCCTGGGCCTGCCATGCTGGCCCCACACCCAGGGCACGCAAGATGGCAATTGAGACTGGGTGTGGTGGCGTGCACCTGTAATCCCAGCCCTTGGGAGGCTGTAAACAGTTAGGTCACTACTACTCTGATCTAGTAGTGAGACCCTGAACACCCTGTAGACCTTTCCCTAAAATACAAAAACATAGAAGAAAATTCAGCCTTATTCAGACATGTAGTTAGAAAAGTGAGTGCATTTCTTTTTATTTGTTTCTTTCTTGGCACGGGGAATTGAACTTAGGACCTTGTTTTAACCAGGCAGGCCCTTATGTTACTGAGCTATATCCCTGGCTAAAAAGTGTATTTTAATGCCTAAATAATTGTGTGTATGTTTTAATACTGTACTAAAATTCAACAAGTAAAAGTTTCTTAAAGATTATAAAAAAGCATATAAGGGCCAGCAGCTCAATGGACTAAGTGCCTGCTTAGGCAAGCTCAGGAGGGACCAGGGTTCATTCCTTGGTACCGTTCATCCCTTGGTACCGCATGCCTGCCCTTGGGCACACAGAGCCTGGTGATTGAGTCTGGGTGTGGTGGTGCACACCTGTAATCCTAGCGCTGGGGAGGCTGATAACAGGAGGATCACTACAAGTCCAAGCTGCATAGTGAGATGCTATACCAAATACATAAATTAAAAAAAGAAAAGGCAAATCAAAGATTTTTGTCAGAGTCTGTGACATTAAAATCTATTAGTCTTAAACTTTGTGTTTTTTTTCCATAATTTTATTGATAAATAGCAATGAGAAAGTTTCAAATCAAATTGGTAGGACAGTTTCAATAATTAACACATTGCATACGTTCCTCCCAGTGGTTAACTGCTGTACGAGATGCGGACATGACATACCATCTACAAACACCATTAGAACAAATCACTCTATTCATTAAGAGAATGTAACTATATATCTCTCCTAACCACTTTGAATACACAGATACAAAAGGGACATTCATCTGTATCCCCTTTTTTTGTTCTGTTATTTGAATATTATAGGTGTTTTAACACAGCAAAATAATCTAAAAGAGTTCAGGAGTCCATAATAGTATTGAGTTCTCCGCTTCACTGGCAATGTCAGAAATTGTTGACCTGAGTCCCCCACAGCTCAACATAACAGCATGGCTTTACTTCTTTTTTTTTTTTAAACATTTATTTATTTATTTTGTGTGTGTGTGTGTGTGTGTGTGTGTGTGGCCAGCTCAGCCCACCAGGGGGCGGGGCTGGCTGGCATGTGGTGCTGGGGGATAGAACCGCCG